TGATTTACTGGTCCATTTACATTCTAACCCTCACCGTTGGTCGAGTGACCAAAGAACTAGAAAACGGGTACAAGCAGTGAAAATGAGTTTCCTCCATAGGGTGGCCGGGCTCAGATAGGGTCGGACATCTGGTGGGAGCTCAGAGTAGAGTCGCTGCTCCTTCACATCGAAACTAGCCAGTTGAGGTGGAGGTTTTCCGAGCATGTCTACTTGGAAGGAGACCTTGGGGTAGACCCAGAACTCATTAGGCATGGTTGACATGGATGGATGGATGGATGGATGATTTAAAATGAATCAAAGAAAACATAATGCAACCATCTCTGTTCATGTAAAACCAGCACCTTACAATAAAGTTTTCCAACAGATTCATGCAGACACTAAAACTGAACTTTCCCTCTGAAATGTGTTGAAATGAAAACTCTTGGATTCAGATTTACTACAGAGTGAAAAGAACACCTGAACTTTAACCTATTCTATGAAAATCTTCTAATACAAATCACCTGCGTAAAAAACACTTCTGTACTTTAGAAGTGGCGTGTAGGTGAACTGTAGCGGTACTAAATCAGCATCACAGTTGTCTTCAGTCTTACTATCAGCACTCCAGTGTTTCCAGGTATTTTACATGTGTTGGTTTATTTAAAACATGGAACAGCAAAGTGTCTGATCTGTTAAATGAAGAATAGCGGATGGCAGTAACTTATCTCATAGAAAATGTAGATTTTTGGGTACATTAATGTAAGAAATGTCATGCATAGCAGGTAAAAGAATGCATATATGCAGCATAAGCCGTAACCTGATGCATCAACTCAAAGTTAATTTGCTAAAAATCAAATATTGCTCATCACTATTTGAAAATCTGGAAATAATGCAAACGTTACCGTCATTTATCTTTAGTTTTGTTTCAATCATACTTGCTTAATTCTTATTTGAAATATGTCAACAAACCAAAACAGTGCTGGCAAAATAAAAAGAACTCATTTCCAGGCTTACAGTGACCCCTAGTGGCAGATGGAGAAACAACTGAACACAGCCCATTTATTTTGAATTCCTCCACCGGTTTATCTTTAATAATTTAAAGTTTTTTGATTAAATATTTGCTCATATTGTGACCCGTTGCTTTCACAGTTGAACTCATCAGCTGTTCAACCACATGTTGGTATTTTTTCTCTGCATAATTACAGAAATAAAAACAGTCGCCCCACTTTCCTTAAAGCCTTTATTTTACAGACAGTCTACAGTTTTTCCACCATTCAGACACATAAATAGTAAAGCTTCATCTCTGTACAAGCTCAGTAGCAGTGACCTTTAGTAAAGAGGTGCATGAAGGATTCCTGACAACAGACACTAGTTTAATCTTCACTTCATCTTAACGGACTCGTCGTTTTCCCCAAAGTGTTCAGAAAAACTTTAAATTAATAAAAGACAGTGTAGTGCATTTATTCACAAGCACAGGAGGACGTCGGTTCCTTGAAAACTTCCAACTTTTCACCCACAAACTCAACATTTGCAGAATTGTCAGAGAAACTCAAGTCATGGACATTTAGCAGAAGTGGAAAGTTCGTATGCAGCTCAAGGACTTTGCTTGATTTTTATTGTTTTCTGAAGTGTAGAACAAAGTTATTGGCTGTTCATAAAACCCTAAATAAACAAGGCTAATAAAGAGGATTCATCGCCCCAAGACGTTCATTATTTGGGGTTTTTTGACAAGAATTTACAAAATAAAAGCCGTTTTCACTTTGACATGACGGTTCGTTTATTCTTGTGAATACGTTTTATAGGCGCTGTAGAACACAGTGAGCAAAACAGGTGTCAACAAAACAGGTTTCATATCTTTGCAAACCATCTTTCTTACCACATTAATCCAAATGCGTTATTCAATAGTTCTAATGTCTTTAGTTTTGTTCTACACTGTAGAAAATGGTTTAATCCAATTAAAAAGCCTTTTCATTTGTCCTGTGCACACCTTCAAACTCGCTTCTTTTGACTGGTAGCTCGACATACTGAATCCTTTCAGGAAAAACACGTCACCTCACTCAGGAAAAGGGTTCGAACAAGAGGTGAGGTGCTTCAACACAGACCGACATGACAATAAGCTCGATTTAGAGTCCATGTTGAAAGCGATTCCTTAGACGGAGGAGTGTCTCAAACAGCTTCTACACATTTAAAAGCAACACAGTTTAAAATGCTGGATAAACATGGAGGAATGTTTATCGTGGACATATTGCGAAAAACACGTGAAATGTAGGTTTTGTGCGTCTATTGTGCAGCAGGTCAAGTACACACAGTGCACTCTGAGCGGCTCGTACTCTCGCTTGATGATTGCACAACTCCACGTACGGCTGGACCGAGCAGAACAAACAGGAACTCATAGAGGTTTCTATATAAAACTATAGATAGAGAAATAAATAACACTGGCAGGTTTCAGGTAAAGTCCCATTAAGGTGCACGACGCTGAGATCTAAAGCCGACGAAGGAAGTTTCTGGTGCAGTGACGGAGCTTCCATTAGTTCTGGGAGGACTCTACCTTTAAGAGGATGGGCTGTACGCGGGCATTTGGGTTTACGTGGGGTCGAGTCTAGCTGACGGACTTGAGCTTGGACCAGGGGTTCGTCCCGCGCACCTCCAGCGGCGGGTTGTTGTAGAAGATGTGGTTGCAGAGGTCGTCCAGCGGCGGCTCCGGGTCCGAGGTGGCGAACTGAGCCGCCTCCTCCACCTGCTTACGGATGTCCACGTCGATTTCCTGACGGGACAGAAAAGAGTCGCGTTTAGCTCCAGCAGTGAATTCACCGACGGCTGCTGCACGTGGTGGTTTAGAGAAGGAGTTCTGTTGTAGGAGTTGTTCCATCTCAAATCATCTGAGGCCTTCTGCTTCACCATCTCTGAAACTTTATCATAAACTACAGAGATTTCACGTGGCATCTGGGAAGTTTTAGTTTAATATATTAACATGCTTAAAAAGTAGCTTCAGAATGCCTCATATTTAAAAACGTGAAGAAAATAAAACCATGCTCAGGTGGGCGGCAATGTTTTTTATTTTTAAATTATAAGTACTCAATACTTTAATCTAAAAGTTCATTGATCCCACTTTAAACATCCCGAGTTTTATATGATATAAAGGTAAATCAGAGATGGTTGAGCAGAAACGGTTTTTAAAATTTGAGACGTGATGACCAGAAATAAACTTCAGGTGAGATTAAAAAGGAATAAAAAAGAAGGAATATACCCGACACACAAGGACACAAAGGGAGCAAACCAAAGCATATGAAGGTGTTTGGAGTTTAAAAAGTGTTAAGTTTACTCTCCAACAGTAATTTAAAACTTAAATACAGTCACTACCTGAACATTGTGGTGGTTTAATACTCAAAAAATTCCAAATCAACAGATATTCAATCACTACTTTAACGGGATTAGTTTTAAAAATCCTCCTAAAAAATTTCAACGTGACAAAACATTTAAAAAAATAAATAAATAAAAAATAGGGTTTAATTTTAAATCAGTCGTGCAACTCCAAAATAAATTAAAGTTTCTATTAAAGCTTTTAACAAAGTGAAAAGGTTTGGTTTGCATAACAAACAAAACGTGCAGCTCATTTTTTTCCACTTGGAGTAGCTTGGAGTCGTGTGTTCGGGGAGTTTGTCTGATAAACTTACAGTTTAAAAAAAAAAAAGGATTTTAGCTGCAGAGTAGCAGATTGAAGCGACTTCTGGTTCACATGAAGTCTTAATGAGATGCGTCTCAGTCACTACTTGATCCTCGTTTTGTTGTCTCACAACAGAAACAAACGAGAGCAGCGCTATGGGGGAAATGGATTCAAATGCAGCTGATGTGAGCACAGGGAGCAGGAGAGAAGCCAACGGATGTAAACAGGAGCTGAGTGTAAGGCGAACTGAAGCACAAGATGAAAAAAAAAACAAAACAGTAAACAAGACAAACTTCTAGATTGTTGGTTTCAAATTAAAAACTTTCCACCATCCCGATGTTGAAGAGCTGCTGTGGTCTGCTACTAAAACCCCTTTTTGTTCTGAGATAGATTACGTCGACCAATCACAGCAGCTCATAGAAGATCAACAGTTTTTCTCCTCCATGTTTAAGCTCCGTCATGTGTCTCGTACGCTCACCTTGAACTCCTCCACGGACGCCATGTTGTTGCTCAGCATGCGCTCCTTCAGCAAGGAGATGGGGTCGCTCTTGGTGCGGACCTCCTGAATCTCGTCACGGGTGCGATAGCTGCAGGAGTTCGACACGGCAGTCAGATTAAATGAGCCGCTCAAACTCGCTCAGGCTGAAAAAACACATGCCGTGCAGGGAAATAATCATCTCGTGGCCGCTCCGTCAGGCGACCCTGAAATCAAAGCGGGAGGAGGTTGAAGGCGACTCACCTGACGCCGGGGTCGCTCATGCTGTGTCCATGGTAACGGTAGGTCTGCAGCTCCATGATGATGGGACCCTGAAACACACAGCAGGCGGTTAGCTGCTGCCTCACAGGCCTGGAGGAGAACATCCTCAATAAACAACAAGTTAAAGCAGCAATAAAAAGAACTCTGGAAAGGTCAGAAGGCTGGAAATGAAACACGTACAGTCGTCAGATGTATTCAAAGCCTCCCATTAAAGAAGGAAACAAGCAGCTGGAGTAAGTTGAAATTAACAAAAGTAATAATAAATAAAATGTAATGAAAATCATGACGTTGCTTTTGAATTGTGGTTCAACAGAAATGTTTAAAACAAACCAGCATGATGGGACCCGTGAACTAATATTTAGCTGAACAACCCTTTGAGCCAATGAATACATCTGAGGATGACTGCAGGTAACCTTTAAATGCTTGAAACACTTCATACGTTCATTTACAGATGTCAGAAAGTGTAGTCTATTCCCAGAAATTATTCAGCGACAGACAGGCTCAAGACTTCTAGAGCCTCCAACCTTTGGTAGGTGCAGTTTCCTTTTCTGCAGGAGATATTCTGGCCTCACAAGCTGCACATTTGTCTTGAAAAACTACTGGTGGGTTTCTAGCAGCAGCCGAGGAAGCTTCAGTTGAAACCAGAAGCTTACATAGAAAAAGACCTTTTTCCTCACTGTCTGACATTAAATCAGATTAAACTCTTCCTGTTTCAGCTCAGTCAGGATCACCAACATTATTTCTGTTTGCTAAACGGCAGAATAACGAGAGAGAGAGAAGTGCTTAAATTACTTTTTTTAGTGTTACTAAATGGACGATTTGCCGAAAGAACCAAGATGGCCGCCTGACATGCACCAAATCCTGAGAATTTTGACACAACTTCTACCTGAAGTTCACACCTGGTGAGTCAGACTGTGACAGAACAGGCGACGAGGCCTCGAGACGAAAACTAAAATTAAAGTGATGATGTCGGACTGAACTGATTTCACTCACCTTTCCAGCTCTGCAGTGATCTGCGGCGAACTTGGTGGCCTCTCTGACACACAGGACGTCCATCCCATCCACCTACAAAAGACAAGAGAGAAAAAGGTCAAAAGACAAATGTGGAAGATCAAACCTCTGCACACTGGACTCTACAACAAACTTTGACGCCTTCACAGACATCTCGGTGATATTTTCAGGTACAAAGAAAGAGAATCCTTGTGGGCGTGTGTCGCTGTGAATGTGTGCAGTATCATACATGAGCATCAGACAGCTGGATGAATGCTCACACCTGCAACTGCCAGGACGGCCCGTCGGCTCGCTCCTGTTATATTCTGGGTTCATACAGGCGAGCTGCAGCGTACGGCCGACCGGCTCGCTGCAGCTGCCGCCCAAGACCTCCACGTTCAGGGTGACAGACGGTAAACACAGACAGCGACGGACATGACGGGTTTGTGTGTCTCACTCTGATGCCCGGGATGAAGTCTCCTCTCTTGTAGTAGTCGGTGCTGGCCGAGGCTCTCTCCACAGACGTCCCCATGCCGTACTTGTTGTTCTCGCAGATGAAGATGCACGGCAGCTTCCACAGGGCGGCCATGTTGAACGACTCAAACAGCTGGCCCTGATTGGATGGAAGGGGGACGGGACAGCAGGGCATCAACCAACCACCAGCTGAACTTATGGACACGCGGTTTTATCTTTAACTAGTTTTAAAACTGTTAAAATCATCTTATTGTAACTCTAATAAACTGATATGATGATTACATGAAGAGAAATAATCACACAAGCTTTATTGGTTTGTATTTGTGCACTTCTCACATTTTATTTTTATTTCTTATCAGCATGTCAAAGAGAAATATTCCACATGTGCGTCATTTTATTTAGTCTTTGGGATCTGAACTAGAAAATGTACCAGTATACTCAAAGTAAGATCAAACAAAACAGCTCCAAACCAGTCTGAAATCAGCCAAACTTCATCCAGAACCAAGTCCAAAACTAGTCTAAAACAAATACAGTCTAAATCCAGTTCAAAAGTATGAAACTAGTTTAAAAGTAGGTCCAAAACCAGTCCAACATTTGCCCCAAACAAGTGCAAAATCAAGCCCTAATACAGGCCAAAACCAAACCGAATTGAGTCCCAAACGTTCCAAAAGCAGCTCAAAACCCAACCTCCAACAAAACTCAAAGCCAGGCTAAAACCAAGTCCGAAACCAGTCGAGTCTGAAATCAGTCTAAACGCAACTTCAAAACAAAACCGCACTCCTGCCAAACCAGTCCAAAACAAATCCTAAATCAGAGCAAGGTCAAGTCTCAATGCAAACCAAATCCGAAACCAAAATCTTAATCCAGACCCAAAAGCGGTCCGATACCCAATGCAGAACCAAGTCCAAAACCAGCCTGAGATATGGTCCTAAACCAGTCCACATCAAGTTAACAAGTACGTACGAAGCCAGTCTTAAAGTAAGTCCCAAACCAGGAACAAATCTGATGCAAACAAGACAAAAATCAAATCCAAAACCGGCCCGAAACAGTGCAAAACCAAGTCCTAATCCAGGCCAGAACATTCCAAAGCTAATTCCTAAACCAAATCATAATCCAGATCCAAAGTAAACCCAAAACCAGTTCCATACCTAATGCAGAACCAGCCTGAGAAAAGTCCACATCAAGTTCACAAGTATGAAGCCAGTCTTAAAGTCAGTCCAAAACCAGCCTGAAATGGTGCAAAACCAAATCCTAATCCAGACCCAAAATCAGTCCTACACCAGTCCGACACCCAATGCAGAACCAAGTCCAAAACCAGGCTGAAGTAAAGTCCTAAACCAGTCCACATCAAGTTCACATGTAAGTATGAAGCCAATCTTAAATCAAGTCCAAAACCAGCCTGAAACATTCCAAAACCAAGACCTAAACCAAATCCTAATCCAGACCCACAATCAGCCTAACACTGGTCAAACACCCAATGCAGAACCAAGTCCAAAACCAGCCAGAGGTAAAATCCTAAACCCGTCTAGATCCAGTCTAACAGCAGTTCCAACCCAATTTTAAAACTTGGATTACATCAAGATTCCACAGAAGAAGTGAGGCAACGACTACCTTCGTTACAGCTACCGAGACATAAACTTTACATTTAGCTGCTCACGGTTCATAAATAAGGTAAAGCTGTGCCCGGTCAACGTCTTACCTGGTTGGCTGCTCCGTCTCCGTACAGCGTGACGCACAGCTGGTTGTTGCCTTGGTATTGGCAGGCCAGAGCGATGCCCGCTCCCAGAGGCACCTGGACAGGTAACAGCAAGAGTTATGCTAAAAAATAACCCGTATTTGTAATCGTGACTTTAATGAGCAACCTGAAGCCGCTCCATGAGTTTACCTGCGCGCCCACAATGCCGTTGCCTCCGTAGAAATGTGGAGCGTACATGTGCATGGAGCCGCCCTTCCCTTTGGCCACGCCCCCTTTACGGCCTGCGAGAGGAAAAGAAGCAAGACTTAGGCCGAGTTTACACGCAGCAAAAACGGTGATTGGTTTACACGTAAACGAAGCTACGAGTCACCGAAATCGATCACATCCGAAAACTCCGACCACAGTGGAGATTTGGAAAAACTCCGTCTTTACGTTGTAGACAGGACGAGAAGAAGTTTGACGTCACAGTGTGCGACAAAAGCGTCATCAGCATCATATGTGTGCGACCATGTTTACAGTTTGGCCATTTGTTGTGTTTTTTCCAGGATTCTGATTGGCTAGCATGGCTTTATGCTTCTTGCTACACTGCCCCCTACAGGTGTGACATGCTCATAGCAGCTCTTAACGATGGGTTTGCGTAAACGAAGATTTTTTTTTAAATGATCTGGTGTGAACAATGTTATTTTTGAAAACGTAGACCCGTTTTTGTGAATACCGGCTGCGTGTAAACGTGGCCTTAACCCTCAAACGGTCACGATTAGCCCACAGGAGATCCACATCGTCTCTTTCACCTGTGAGCTCGGCCAGGATCTCCTTGATGGCGACGCCGCGGGTGTAGGTGTATCCGTGGGCGCGGTAGGCCGTGATCAGGTGATCGGTGGGGTTGATGGCAGCCTCAATGCCTGCAGCACACGCCTCCTGCAGGAGAAACCCAACAACATTAGCAGTTTGTGTGCCATCCTACAAATAAAAAAAAAACAAGAAGGGAATGGAAACATGGCAAGAGTCGAGCCTCACCTGTCCATCGTACAGGTGACAGAAGCCCCTGATGATCTTCTGCTTGTAGAGCTGGTCGGCTTTGAGCTCCATGCGCCTCACCGTCTGCATGGTGCGGTAATAGTGCAGGCCCTGATCCCTGGTCAGCTCGGCCGCCAGGGGAGGACCATCCTCCAGCCGGTGCAGGTCGCATTTCTGACAGGATGAAAAACACAAAACAGCACTTTTATTAAAACAACAAATACAGTCAGTGCTATGGCACAGAGAGCTTCTTTATTTGGCTTTCTGCAGAAAACGATCCAGTGCAGTCAGGAGTTAAGCCTGACTTCAATGTGGAGGATGTGCACTGGAGAGGAGGGTCTGTGGCTACAACTAGGAGAAGAAACAGCAGAGTGGGAAAGTGTTCTGTGTGAATTCATCCACCAGCTTCAGATCGTCAAAGCAGAGTTTTATTGCAACAAAGTCGACCTAAAGTTTGGTCAGTTGGCGCTCCAGTCTGCTCTGCACACCGTCTCAACAGCTACTCACCAGACTGGGCTTCCTGCGACGTCTTAATCGTGTCCAAAGTGAAATTCAAGATCAAGGGCTGCTTCTTTTGGACGTGGTTTAGAAGCTCTATGACGTATTAAGAATGGCAGGAGCCCTGGGAGCAGAGCGTCGCTGCACAGACGGTCAATTTATCGGCACAATCTCGAAACTTTTTGATGGAATTTGGAGCTCACTGCAGTAAAGATGTGGTGGGGCTATAAACCACACGTTAAAAACTGAATTTTTGGTGCTTTGCAATCTGAATTTTGCACATGTGATGCTTCTGGAGTCTTCGTGCATCTGTTTTTTCTGCAGCTTAGTCAGCAATTGAGGAAGTTCTTGCAACGATAATCATACTCTGTTTTTACTGGAAGCAGCTCGACACAAAGGCTTAAATGTGCTGCGAGAGAAACGTTGATTCGACGATTTTGTCTCATTTATACCTCATGCTTGAGCTCTTGTTTGTTTGAACTTTGGTTTGAACCCACCTTGATGTTGAACGTGGCCTGAGGGGTGAAGTCGGCAAAAGAGCGGGAGACGACGACTCTGGCGCCCTGGAGGACGACAAAACCAACAAACAGGATTAATTAAGACGCCGTCAACGATTCAAGCACACAGGATTTAAACACCGACAGGCTGCCCTCCTCGTCACAGCAGGGGACGGTTAGTGGGGCTGGACGGGTTCAGGGACGGTCGGGTTTGGGGGTTCTACACCAGACGGTACTGCAGCTACATCAGTACGTCAGTAACAGGGTGGAGAAAACACCAGCTTACTGAAGAGGCGTCAATCTGCAGGTTACAGACGGAATCATTAACGTAGAAAATGCAGAAATCTGAGGATGAAGAAGAAAAACTGCTGCGTTCAGCTTTTTAAATGTCAATATTTGCATTTTTCTTACTCTAACTTGACACTAAACTGAATATTTTTATGTTAATAATTGAGGGAAAAGGTGATTTAAATATAATTCTTTACTAAATAAACTGAACTCGCCTGATTTCAAACCTTCAGTTGATGATTTTAATACAAGAAACACACCAAACAGCCACTTTGACGACTTCAAGGTGTCATTTTCTCATAATTCTCATGTTTTTTTCAGCCACAGTGTTTTAAATTTATACGTTTCTGGTAAGAAACTACAAAAAAACAATCCTGATCAAAGCTGATTAAAAAGAACAAACTACTTTATGTGGAAATTTCACCTTAAATTCAGAAGGTTTTAGTGACATTGTCCTGCAAAGGCCCGGCTAAGTTCCCTCGGCATGACTTCTTGCCCTGAACCTGTATTATTTATCACGTTTAGTAGTGATTTTAGACATTTCCTGTAAATAAACTAATGAAATAGTCACAATAAGCGATTACTGTAAAGAACAAACTCTGCCAACAGTCACTCTAAGATATAATTTACCCCTAATTCAGATGTTTTCCTGCCACGTTGTCCTGCAGAAGCATTGATCTCTGCACCTATTTTACACCTTCACTTAGTGGTTTCATACCAGAAGCAGAACAAACTGTACCTACAGTCACCTCTGACTACTTTAGGATGCATTTCAGAAGGTTTTCCTGCCACGTTGTCCTGCAGAAGCTCTGGTTAGGTTCCCCATGCTTTGCTTTTAGCCCTAAATCCACCATATTTAACACCTTCAGTTAGTGAGTTCATGCATTTCCTGTTAAAAATAAATAAAATAATCCCAGTGAAGGATTAAATAAAAGAACAGGAGCTACTTTTAGGTATAATTTACCTTATTTTGGAGTTTTTTGCAGAAGCTCTGGTTGAGTAAAGTTTCCTAGACCTGATTTTTTGCTCTAAACCTTCCATATTTAACACCTTCGGTTAGTGATTTCATGCATTTCCCGTAAAAAACAAATAAAATTATCAATACTAAGGACTAATATAGAGTAGAAACTCTGCCAATAGCCCCGTTAAGGTATAATTTCCCCTTATTTCGGAGGTCTTTCCCCCACCACGGTGTCCTGCAGAAGCTCTGGTTAGGTTCCCCAGCCCTGTTAGTGAGCAGACAGACACGGAGAAGCCACTCGAGTCCTTACTGGGCCGACTGGCGGGTCGGTCCGGCCGCTAACTAACTGTGCAGCGGGCGCTCTAGTACTGACTGGCGGTGGCGGTGGTTTAGGCGGTTGCCGCTGGGTCTGTGCCGAGGCGGGCGGCGCCGGCGACGACGTTAGATTGACGTACTCTGACAGGTCAATCAGCAGCTGGGGAGCACAGGAGCCAACCAATCAGAGCAGAGCACGGCCAGAGGGCGCTCTACAGAGGCTACAGGTGAGCAGACGTCTACAGGTGAGGCAGCAGCTAGACGGACACAAACATGACGGCTGGAGTCTAGAACGATGAGAAACACACAGCAGGAGGATGGAGGCCGACGGCAGGCCGACAGAGTCGACGCTGCAGCGGATATTTCACCGCCGGCACGACTTCTATCTGCACTTGGTTCTGTCTCAGAATACATGCAGCTCTGTTCATCTGTCACTGAAAATAAACATCAACAACTAGTCTTATTGGATAGAACTGAGAACTGACCTGAAACTGATTGTAAAAATGACAAACATTTATTTCAATGTTTCTGTTCCACCCACTCATGTGAGGAAATGACGTCTTTTACCATCGTACACGGCAGTAAGCTGAATATTTGTAGGTTTCAGGCTGCTGGTCGAGTACAAACAGACATTTAAAGAACTATTTTCACATTAAACAATCTAAAAAGTGCCTCTGAGCAGCATTTAGGGCTACAGCGAAAGATTATTTAAAATAATCGTCAATCATTTAATTTATGTGAAGACTTGGTTTCATTTAACTACATCAGAAAACGGTGAAGTCAAGCATGAAAACAAACAGTTTAACTCGTGTTATTTATATCAGCTGACACGTACAAACGAAGCAAATAGAGGAGGGATCAAGTACGGTGAAAAACAAAACTGTAGCTCAACGCTGAAATTGTGACGCAGTAATAATAAAAAGTCATTTTTGACAACAAAAGTCCCACAAATTCACAGGTTTCTGCTTTTTAAACGTAAATATTTGTGTCTTTCTTACTCTGACTCGACACTAAATTGTATATTTTGAGGTTTTAGGTTATTAATTAGTGAAAAAAGACGATTTAAACGTGTCAATATTTAATCAAACTCAAGATAAGACTGTTTTCATAATTATTAATTGAGGAATATTTGCCAGCGATTTGTCTAAACAAGCAACCTGAAGACATTTTTATTGTTTTCTGATGGATTTCTATTGATTAAAATGTATAACTGATCCGACAGTTGCTCATATTTGAATGTCTGTTGTTGTATTTTAGACATTTTTTCAGATAAAATGGTCACCACACATTCACAGATCTGATGTATGAAACATTAAACATAAATTATATACTAAATCTAGTTTATTGCTAACTGTTGCACTAATTTATCAGAGTAAATAATGACCACAGTGCACTGAATATTCAGCACATAGTCGTTGAATCGTAGTTTTATCTTCAGTACTTTGTGTATTTTAATCTCGTTTGTTAGTTTAGTAGAGTTTAATGTGAACTATTTTCACCCACCTCACGGTTTTTGGTAGATTATGTGAAGTGAGCGGTCAGAACACTTAAGAACAGCGTTTATCATGCTGCAGAGGTTTTTGGAAAAACAGTCACAGCTGCAGCTCACTTTAGTTCTGAAACGGTCGCCGTAGACCTGAAGCTTAATGTCGTGCCGACGTGAAATATCGCCGGGATCCAACATAAGAGGAGATTCTACTGACAGATTAATCGTGTGAAGAAAACATAAAACACAAAATTAAGTGTGGATGAGCAGTTTGAGTACAATCTAAGTGACAGCAGAGCTACAAACACATTGAGACAGCAGATGTTTAGACTGTGAGTGTGAGGATAACGTGGTCCGTGTGTGGTTCTGTACTTCAGAGGAGCTCTCTGGGACACACCATCACTGCAGAGGGGAAGGAAGCGCAGGACCAGACCTGCAGACAGACACGAGCAGCTGCTTACCTCCGACACTGTCTGGGCTCCCTAAGGTTCAGGCGACGGGGGAGAAGGAGGGAGGAGAGGAGGGAGAGAAGCGAGAAATAAATAGGGATTGTTGTGCGTTTGTGTGAATAAAACAGGGAGAGGAGGCAGGAGGGCAAGAGTGGAAGCTGGACGTGAAGCAGCAGAGCTCCTGCAGGCGGTCAGACGGATTAAACTGTCATTTGTTTTTAGGAGGAGACTTTAGTTTCACCAAAAGTGCAGCATGAGCAGGATCTATCAGGAGAACCTGCAGGAACCTGCTGCCTCTGATGCACCACGACAGACTCAACATGCAGCCGACAGCAGACTGACACCGACGTGGTCTCACTGGAACCAGCATCTGCTCTTCACTCCAGTAGGATGAGTGGAGTCACACACATTTGTTCATGAATGACGTGTTGACATTCTTAGACTTCATCGTCATTCAGTGAAAAACACACAGAAGGAAAATCTGCTGCAATCAGCTCAGCATGGATTGAAAACAGAAAAGTATGTGTTAAAAATATGCATAAATCTAAAGGTATTTAAAAACATGCAGCAGCAAAACCAAAAAAACGTGTTTGTATAAAATAAAAAAGTAACTGAAGCGGTATGAAACATCTAACCTGCTCTGGAGCCGATTGTGTTCAAGATTTGAGATCAGCGTCAATAAAAGCGTCACCAGTTAGTTGTATGAAGGCAAAGTGGAGTTTTTAAAGCTACAAACAATTTTAAAGCCGTTTCATTGTTCTCAAGGCCTTTGTGTATCGATACAGTCCTAGAACAGACCCTGATTCTTTCTGTTAGTGTGATTTAATCCTCTCAACAATAATGAAGTTTAATAAAACAACTGTCTGCACTGTTTGCACTGTTAAGCTAGAAATACTTGAATACTTTAGTGAATAGAAAACACTTAAACACACCTCGGAGGTCTTTTGTTTAGCACTTATTAGGAGGCTAACTTTAGCTCTGTTTATAGAAGTAAGCATTTAGCTGTCTTGGACATTAGAGCAGATGCTGGTCAGTGATGATCCCATGAGTGAGTCTGCAGCAGTGAAAGCTGGTTGTGCTGTGTGAGGAAGGCAAACCACCAAAATCAGAGACACCAACAGCAGTGAGACAGACACGGTGCCGCCCAGCGAGCACAGCCGGGTTCGTTCATCCGAGCACACGATGCATTTCTCAGTCAGTCCACAATATGCAGTCAAATCAACTACCTGCCACCACAACATGCAAAACTGCAAAGCAAAAGTCAAACTAGCGAGCCGATGCTAACATTAGCCGCCGCTCACAAGGTCAGCCCCCGGACCAAACCAACCCGAGCTAGCTAGCGGTTAGCACGGAGCTCAGAACCGGCCTCCGGCTCGACTCGAGCCGCCTCCACTCACCGCATTCCTGCCAGTCATCCTGCAAAGAGCGTTAGAAATTATGGTTAACATGGTTTTCATGCTACTGAGCGACGACCTGAGTCCGGAGAGGATTAATTAACGGGTGTTAGCAGAACTGCCGGCTGCTAATTCCCTGTTAGTGTCCGTCTGAGAACCAGCGCCGGGGAGAAACGGAGACATCGAACATTGGTTCCTCACTGGCTTTATAGCTGACCAGAGAGGGACACGTTTTTTTTTTTGTTTTTTTTTTATCTCCACACATCTCTGACTCATATTTCCCATTTGCATAATTTTGTTAAACAAAGCATCAAAAAAAGAACGTAATGAAAGCAAAGACCAAACCGTGAGGTCAAGATAAATAAGACTTTATTTATTGCATTTGAGTAAATTAACAACTTAAGGCAAGAAAAGTGACGCCCTCCTCGTCTGACATGTAGAACAAAGCTTCAATATAAAAAAAATGTTTGTGCGTATAAGCGACAGAGGAATATAAAAGTGTAACATGATGCACCCCCATGCATACAGCGAGGCAGGAATATACGAGGTCTACCACAAAGACGAGAACTTCGGCTTCATTTTGTCCAAACTGCTGAAAAGATGTAAACTGTTTAAAAATGACCACAAAAATCTGCTTTTGTTGTGTTGTAGTGAACCGAAAACAGCAAAACATAAACCTCCAGAGCAAATAAAGCAAAATAAATCCAACAATGTCTCCATGTGGGTGTGTAAAAGTAAAAAGAAGCGCGATATAAAAAGTTGTTTTCAGTAAATTCTGTTCAGATGGCAAAAGGCTTTGGCAGGTTGTCCATCCCTCAGGACTCCACCGTCTGGTTAAAGTGTCTTTTCCCGTCCAGGTACAACATCGACTCTGTCAGAAAAACACAAAGCATCAATGCAGCGACTGTAGTTTTGAACATTTTACAGCTAAATGCAAAAACGGTCACGAACAAACACACAGATATAGTTGTGATGAAAACAAACCGATAAAAACTGCAAAGAAAATAATTTATAGAAACATCACGATTTCTTATGTCAGTATTTCTACTCAGGAAAGAATCTGTGTAATATCTGAATTTCCACATAGAGAAGAATCTGTATAATGTCAACAGTACTTATATCTATGACTTGTTTATGTTTTCTCTCTCTGTCTTTCTACTACGATTATTGTTATTATTGGTATTCATCTCATTGTTGTTCTTATTGTTGCTGCTGTTATTAATATGATTACTGTTATAATTACTGTTGCTGTTATTAGTGTTATTGCTGCCGTTATTGTTATTGTTTTTATTTTTGCTATAATTATTATTGTTGGCATTGTTGTTGCTATTGTTATTGTTGTTGTTTTTGTTGTTGGTCTTATTATTAACACTGTTTGTGTTGTTGTTGACATCATTGCTGGCGTCGCTGTATCAGAGTTCTGTCAGCTCACCTCCGTAAGTCTTGGGGATGATGCTGGGGACGTCGCGGTCCGAGATGAAGGTGAAGTGGAAGACGTTGGTGGTGCTGTGCTGCCGGGTCAGCGGGTCGAACACCTCGCTGTGGACTCGCACCTGGATGTACTTCCCCTGCGTGTAGCACACCTGGAACACAGACGCTCTCACGTCACAGTCTGCTGGTTGTAACGCTCACCGTCTACTGACCGACAGCACTGGCTTTTTGTTCTTCTTTAGAAACGTTCTGCCTGTCAGTGATTAACGTTCCTCACCAAACAGCAAACTCCTACTTGGCAATAATTCCTTTTCTCGATTCCTCACCTCGTGTCTTAAACGTGGAGGAATTGAACAAAACAAGACGTCTTCACCTCAGAACCACGATTCTAAAGCAGCACCAGTTGAACAACACGTGTGGTTCATCTGTGTCTACTGTTTGTTATAACCTACTGCTGTGTTTCATCATCTTAACAGAATACATTTACCCAGAATTCAATTCACAACTTGGCAGGATGTGACAAGAACGTACAGACGTTATAAACTCTCGATTCCTATCATTCTGCTGTTGGTTACTTTACTTCGGCTCTGGATCTTTGGGGCGGTAATAGACTGGAATAACCCCACGTGTCTGATATTTATTCGTTTTTAGCTCCAGTTTTGGTCTCCACCTCCGAGCTAGTCTTTAACTGGAGTCGTGTTTCTGTGTTTGTCAAACACATTTGAAGCAAAATACTGCAAAAACATTTTAAAACAATACAAATTTGGCTTGTTTCCATGAACTGCTTTGAAATGTGTAAACCAGGCTGCGTCAGAAGGTGGCGCTAAAGGCTACATGGCTGTGCAAAGGTAAACCAGTTGTTTGCCAACTGTTAAAAAAAAATGAATGAAGAAGAAACTAACAAAACTTTGTCTGTCTACAAGAGAAAAATGGAGAGAAGTCTTCAGAAAATCAGGAAAGCTGTAATAATTCTTTCACGTCAGCTGGTATTAAACATGTTTCATGAGACGAAACAACCAAAGAAGCAGCTGATCAGTCGTGTACGTGTTCACTTCATCACAACTTATTCAGAAAAGGTGTTTCCATCTTCTATGAAGCTCATTAACTTGTTTTCAAGAAAGTCAGAATAATGAAATTGTGTTCAAACTGGGACGTTTATTCTTCAGTGCTGTCGTTTCCCTGTTTCTACTGAAATACATTATGGAAACATGTTTGGAAGACGGAGGCCAAACCAGAGAGAAAATCCACTCAACAGGAAGTTAAACTGAGACTCAGAATATTCTCTGACCTGCGACGACAGCAGCAGCAACGAGCCGATCTCCACCGGTTTCTGGAAGAGAATGTCGTCCACAGCCACCAGACTCGGCCGACAGCCTCTGCAACAGACGAACATTGAACACAAAGCTTCGATAAAACGTCCTTTTTGTGTTTCTCTGATCGTTGTCTCTGGTGTCGACGTCTCACCCGTAGGAGCAGGCGTTGGCCCAGCCCAGCTCGTAGGCTTTCCTCATCAGAAAGCCTCCAAAGATCCTGTTGAAGATGTTCCTCTCCTGCACAAAACACAAATGACGAAGATCAGAAACTAAATAATGACACAAAACTCGAGAAACTAGGAGGAAAACTGTTACAGAACTAATCTACGTTTGGCTTGTGAACGTGGCTGCAGTATGAGCAGAACATACTGCAGCGTCTAAATCCAGTTTAGAAACCGAACCCAGAGTCAGCGTGTGGAGCCGGGAATCGTCTCACCTGAGGGTGGCAGATCTCCAGTCCTTTCAGTTTGGCGTCTTCCATCCACACCGAGTCTGGAGGCAGAACTCTGCTGCGGAAGCTGACGGTGCTGAAACCGGAGGAGGACATCAACACAATGAGATGAAATGATCCAAAGCAACAACGCAGCAGCCTCACACGTCTGTTTATTATCCACTAAACAGGAGTTATGCTGTCGCTTGTTGTGAACATCACACACTGCATGCACCAAACGTGTGGAAAAATGTGCAACTAATCCGGGAAGTTGATGTTTCTGAACAGAACAAGCAGAAGAAAAGGTTCGTGTGCTGGTGAGTGATCACTTGTTGCAGCTATTTTAGAAACGACTGCGCACGAATAAAAACTAAAACGACTTTCGTTAACACTCTGAACCCCAAAAACCCAACAGAGAGCTTGAAAGGAAGTTCATCTTTTTTTTTTTTTAAATCATCAAACCATCAGAAACTGCAAAAACAGAAAGACTCTTCAGAACCACAGCGGTCTGGTGATCCTTCACGTGCAGAAAATTAACCAAACCTCAGCTTAAAATCAGGATATTTAATCAAAACGATGCTAATCTACATGTCTCATTTAAATATTTGCCAAAAATAAACAGTTTGCACCAGATTTAGTACAAAAAAATTTAAATTCTTGGCTCCTGAGAAGCTGAGTCACGTGACAAAAACTCAAGGACTGTTCGGCTGAACTGCAGGCAGAGTTCACACAGAGCAGACAGGACACAGCTTTGGACACCAGTCAGGGAAATCTGAAGGAAAATGAAACAGACTTAAATGCAGCATGGCTCAGAACCGGTGAACAGAGGAGTCAGTTGTTGGAGATACATCTAAAAAGACTAAAACTTTTTCTAAATGAATCAAACTGTCCATAATAATAAAAGATCAGCCATTTTGAACACATTTTAAGTCATTTTGAACCAGTTTAAAGTACCATGGGACCGTTTTTGAGTTATTTTGGACGATTCTTGAGTCAATTTGGACTTTTTTTCTTACTTTGGAAACATTCAGATGATTTTGTGTTACCTCAGAAATGTTTTAAGTTATTTAAGACAAGTTTTAAATCACATTGAGGAAAATCAAACCAACTGGATCAATAAATAAACGCAGCACGGCTCAGAAACGGTGAACAGAGGAGCCAGTTGTTGGAGATACATCCAGCTGATGGTGGAACATCTTTCAAATTAACTTTTTAGAGCTCGTAAAGACGTAAATGATCAAATTTCAATCGATTGTGGAGCCATTTTTCTCTAAAATCTGAAACATCTGTCGACACTCAGGAGAATATTGTGCATTTTGATTTTTAAATTTTAGAAAATAAAATAAATTCTTTCCTTTTTTTTCCTTTTCTTTGTATGATTCCTGTCATTCTGCACAAAACACATTTCTGAGTTCTCTCTCCTTCTAGTCGTGGTTGTTGGGTTTCCAAACACCCTGCTGGGAGTCTGGAGGGTTAACGTGACCTGGACGTGAGTAGGTGGCACAAAAAGGATGGATTAACCCAGTTCTAGTTCAAACCACCACTTACGCGTCACCAGATAATACCGCTGGAGCTTCTGCAGCAGCAGTTGTGACAGTTTTCAACTGAAACGCCACAAAAAAAAGCATCAGAGTCCCACTTTTAGCTGCTGACAGCCAGTAATCACAGTGTCGCTGAACATTAACACCCACAGCGGGTTTCAGGAAACGCTCAGGAGAACAGATCTTCTATAATTCCTTTGAGGAGGCTGGATTCTACATTCTGAGGCCTGTTGGTGGTTCGTACTTGGTGTCGAGGGTGTTGAGAAAGAGGCTGTGAACGATCTTCCTCTCCTCGTCCGTGGGAGCGACTTTCAGCAGCGACGCCGTGCTCAGCTCCACGCGGCGAGATTTGTTCGCTGGAAGCCACGAAAAACACACAAAAACACGAGAGAACAGATCAGCAGGTTGGCAGCTTAGAGGCTGTCGTATCTGAGCGGTGTTTGACGTCAGACCTTCTCCTTCCTGGAAGAGCTTCTCCTCCTCCGGACCGTCGGGCTTCAGAGGGTTTACAAACGCCGCCCTGAAGGGAGAAGCAGAGGATCAACAACAGAGTCGGGAATAAGCATCGACAGTTTTCCTCTGTGGCTGAACACAACAGATTAATCAGGACTGAGCTGCTGTCAGAGTGATTCCCAACATAGATAGAAAATCTGGTAACCTTTGAAAACAATCATCTGATTCTGAGGCAAGAATCTGACGAGCAGCAAATGTTATGAGACAATTATTTTGACGTGGAGTCATTCATAGGACCAGAAAAGACTTTTATCTCTTCAGAAGTCCCCGTTTGATATGAAATCCACCTCATCCACTTCTTTTCATGGAATTTTCCTCTAATTGACGAATTGAAATCATAACAGAAACCCTATAAAGCAAAAACGTATGTATAAGACTTCTTTCTAGTTTATGAAAACGTGGATAAAACGCAACCAGAAACCAACGTGACTCACAAACACATGAGCTTCAAACTGTCGCCTGGTGGATGTTACAGGTCCTAAAAGGTTGTAAACCAACGTTCTTTGTATAAAACCCAAACAGCCATTGATAACTTTAGCTCTTAGTGGAGTAAAGGTGTGACGTTCACCTCTTGTTTTCTGGGTCTCGGGCCACCATGACGAACGTAGCATCCAGAACCGGGGCATAAGCTCCATCGCGGTACTGCAGGAGGAGACGGGCTTTTCAGTTCAACAAGTTCTTTCTTTCATACACCAACGAGCAGAAAGACTCAAAGTTGAATCCCTGCAGCTGTGGAACGGATGAATAACGTCCAGCGCCGTGGCAGCTTCAACGCTGGTCAATTTAATTTGATTTTTTAACAAGAAGGCATATCAGCGTCAAAACAGATTTCTACAAATAATGTTGATTATGTAATAAAAAAATGTAAAATAAGTGATTACATAAGTATTGATCCCCTTTAAAGTGACTCACTTAATTCAACACAGGTGCAGTCGACTGTTGCTGGAAGTCATTAATCATGTGAGTGTGTCTCAGCGATCGTAGCATAAAGACTGGAAGGTCCAGTCACTGGTGAATCAGAACTCCTGGATAGAACGACACCATGGAGACCAAACAACACTCCAAGACACTCTGTGGAAAGCATCAGTCAGGGGATGACACAGGAATGTCTCTGAATATCTCCTGGAGTCCAGTTAAATCCACCATTAAGAAACAGAAGGAAGATGACACACGAGTAAATCTGCCTAAAGCAGGTCGTCCTTAAAATCTGAGTGGATGTGCAAGAAAGAGACTAGAGAGGGAGGAGGGAGGCCACCAAGACACCTATGACTCCTCTGAAGGAGTTATCAGCTTTAGAGAAGCTGTTCATACAACAAGTGTTTGTCTTTATGGGAGAGTGACAAAGAAAAGGACACGACTGGAAACATAACATCTGGACTAGAGTTCACCAGAAGACATGTGGAGACTCTGAAGTCACCTGGAAGAAGGTTCT